CTATCCTTGAACCGATTGCATCTCCGCAGGTACAGGCACTTGTCGTGGCTGGGTCGTTTAAATAATAATATTAATAATAATAACATGATAATTGATAGTAAATACACACGACTTGTATTTACTACCAAAGTTACCTACCAAAGAAATGACAGGTTATTAAATTTAAAAAAATCAATGTATCCCTTCTCGTCCATTCATTGATTCAATGATCATTGTCATTACAACAACAGAGATGCCAACCACTACGATTTATCCGTATTTTATGCGAATTTCGTTTGCATTTTGACCACTACGACCAGTTTGCATACAACTACGATTTTTATTAAGATCGAAAAAAATTCTTTTTTATGATATTTCAAGTGTTTTGTTTCAGTGTTACATTGATATAACATGATTGAAAATAACTACATGTATTTAGCAGCAAATATCAGTGTGAACTTATTGTCATTTTAGGTCCCAGAATGCAGGAAATTGCATCTCGGAATCAAAAATTTTCCCAGAGGGCATGCCCCGAACCCCCCTAGCATACTCGGGTCACTGCGTGACCCTCGGACAGGGTTCAAATTTTGGCTGAAAATCTAGTGGACAGCAGGACCACCCACTTCAGAAAGTCGGTGGTCCTGCACAAAAGTTGGTGGTCGGCTTATTTACTAGGAGTGAGTAACAAAATGGTATATAAAAATAACCATTGGCATTAACAGCATACATGTAACATAGAGTTGGTCAAATAATATATTTCAAGCTCTAGGAATGTCGGGCGAGCTTCTGGGAAAGGTTTTACTTTCGTTTTTTTTCTCCTTCCCAGTCCTGGGTACCCCCATGCATAGATCAATGCTGTCGCACATCCGCAAAGTTACAAGTGCCTAGAATCTTGAAGTATATACAGTTTACATTGCTTCTAGATATCTAACTGAATTAAAATAGTCCACTTTCTACGTAAAGAAAATTGACGAATTCAATTAACAGCTTTGATTACGTGCATGTCAGGTGTCACTGGTCGTGTCCTCACTCCCCACGATAACCCCTGCGACATATGAACTTATTGTTATGCGGTCATAAAAATACTGGGCTACGCTACATGCTGCAATAGATTTCTTAGACTGTCACGAGGTTTTGTTCGTGTGGCAAATCATGATTGGAGGATGTTTTGGATACCCCGTCTACGTTCAGTAACGGAGCGTATTAGAATGCGCTCCCATTTACAAGTCTGTCTAAACTGCAGTTGCGATAACCGTAGTATTTCAGCGTAATATGAGGGGGAAAAGTGCGGGTCAGGAGGACCGGCAGTTTCGTAGAGGTGGTGGCTGAAGCAAAAACTTGGTGGCCTCGGGCCTCCGGGTCCGCACTAATTTCGAACGCTGCCCTCGGACTACAGATTTCAGACATCCTCACTACAGTTTGCTCAGAAAAGTGTTGGCATCTCTGCAACATGCATGCCTTCTGAAAATCCTGGGAAGAACAATGTGTATATATACTATATACGTGTGTGTTGATATCTGCCTTATCGACATAATATATGCAGGTGTTATAGCATAAATTAACTAAACATTCTCTCTCTGCAGGTGTCTATTCATAATACAAGGATCTTCCATCCTTGTCTACAACACAAATAGTGGAGAGCATATTAGGCAACTCTGCAAGCACACACAGCAAATTGTCGGCATACAGATTTATCCGAGAAATCATTTACAGGTAGGTCGAATCATTAATCTTGGTAACTTATATATCCATGAGATGGAGCTGATATATCACTTCTTTAAAAACAATTAGGATTGGTAATTCAGCAAACAAATCAGCATGACGGCCGGCCGTATCTTAAAGTGATTACGTCACCGTAAATGGTATAACTAAAAAAAATATTTCCACTTTTTCACAAAATGTAAGTAATTCTGTTCACTTTTTAGCTCATCTGACGTAGTCAGATGCAGCTTGTAGAATTGCATGATCGTGCGTCCGTCCGTCCGTCCGGCCGTCCGGCAACAGTTGGGCACAAATCTTAACCGCTCGACGTACGGTCACGATATTCGGGACGTGGGGGGGTAATCCGAAAACGAGTTGGGATGTTGAAGCTGGGGGGTCAAAGGTCAAGAGGTGTAAAAGAAGGGGGAACATTCCCTCCTTAACTTAAGGTATAAGGAGGAAAGGCAGAATTGCGGCACAAATCTAAACTGCCCAACCTAGGCTCGTGATGTTCGGTGTATAGCTCATGGTGGAGGAATCGATCACGCTGTGGCCGACTTGGAGGTCATCGTGCGTCAATAAGGTCTAATGGGGCACAGGGAGATTTGGTAGACATTTTCTGGGTACATGCGTCGACGCGAGCGATTGAAACACTTTCCGCGTGTGAACCTAGCATTTTTAGGCCTTTACTTGAAGGCCATGATGTCTTTCTTGCTGACATGCGAAGAGTAGTGTCGGATAAACTCTTTGCCTTCAAGGAGGCGGTTAACATGGATTTGCTTTACTGATTTAGGAAGATTTGACCTGCGGTTTGCGTGTAGAATCTTCCACGCCTGGATGTATGAAGGCCTTGAACACTGTCACAAGTGATTTTTTCAAAGCTATAACTCTCTCGGGTGAGATATGTTGGTGATGTCCTTATCATATAATTTTTATGGCATTCTGTATGTTCAGTGTGTTACATGGTAACTCTTGCCGCACTGCCGTGCATGTGGTGCGTGTGTCCGTGCTGTTTTTGCCTGCGTTCATTCGCTCTCGCGTCTCGCGCTCTCTATCTTCAAGCCTGTAGCTTGGCTAGGTAAATGGATGAGTGCCTTACCTTTCTGTTTTGCATCGTTGTAAGCTGTCTTCCATCTTTTAATCTTAGACACTTAGGCGTACTTGCACCGTCTCGTGGCATACGTTTCATATGCGATCCAGCTGTTGTGTTTTCTCAGCACAAGATTCTAAAGAATCGTTTATTGTCAACAATAGATTGTTTATGTTGCTACAACCATAGTATCGTTTATTGTACAGCAATAGTATCGTTTATTGTACCGCAATGGTATGGTACGACGCATAAGGTTGCATAATCGCACACTATCTGTGATCAGTCTTTATAAGTTTAGAAAACGGTTCTTCGAAAGAATCCTCGTTGTTATTACTGGAGGCATCCATCTTCGCACCGCCCGTGGCGCCATCTCTAGTCAGTTCTGCCATGTTCGCGAATGTTCACTTTCGTGCATCGCCACAACACCAACGAACATTCCTTTGAGAAGGTTCCTGATACCATCCCTGTGCCATCACTGTTTCGGCGCGTATGTGAACACATTTGGGACTAACAGGGTTTACTAGAATCCCACCACTCCACCACAGAGTCACTGCAGTAGACGTTAGATGAGCGCTGTCGCTCCGCAGCACTTGTTATGGTTATATTGCTGCATTATACTTCCTATAATATACTTATATTGTTCGATGTAAAAATGCATACACTCGTGACTCATACATAGGCTAGCCCATAGCAAGCAATTATTGTCAGGATAATCATATCAAATCATCCAGGTTTTTTGGATTTCTAACTGGTTGAGAAACAATCTTATCAGGTAAGAATTTGACGATACATTTATTCCCGTTAGTACTTACTTTTACTGTAAAAAAATGGCAACAAAATTTTTACAAATATCACCATAGAAAATTCGTGACGTAGTCTATTTAATTATTTAATTATATACGTGTTTCAGCTCGTTTCCTGCTCTTCAGATGGTACAGTCATTCACTGGGACTATACAGATGGTGTTGTGCTGAAGGTCAATATAACATTTTTTGTATTTATTTGTATCCGTGATTATTATCAGACAGTGAAAGGTTAACTGTGAATTCTGGAGGCTTTTATGCTGCCATTCAATATAATTAAAATACATATTATACTAACGTGCCTACATGATAAAAGATGTGACATTTATTCATGGATTACGTTCAGTAGAAAAGAACTAGCAAATACTTAAGGTATGCCAATTCTCTTTTTCAGGAATACAATTTGCAATGCAAAGTTTTTGCCTTCTTCATGCCCTTTGAAGACAACTCCATATGCTTCATTACGAAAAATAAATACAAGGGTAAGACTTCACGTAAAATGTACTTTATTATTATTGCCTTTTAACTACTAATTTAAAAATCAGACCAATTTTGCATTCACCCAGATGCATGCTCTTAATTATTTCTAGAAGTCAGTTTTGGAGATTGTGAATTTGTATGTTTGCACTCCCCCCCCCCACACACACATGGAAGCATCACGATTAGCATACGCCAACGTGAGCCGTCAGTTTTTCACTCTCTTTTACAGATGAGGAAAACATTGTGCTGCTCCGTGTAAGGTTCAGTGCTAATGAACACCGCGAAAAACGCTTCCTTATGAAGAACCTTCTGCCAGATGAGAAGTCTATAACATTTGGAAATAAGGTACAAACCGTCACTTGTCTACAGAAATACGATGTGAGTTTTTTCTATGTTCCTTCTTTGTCGGGACCTTGGTGCCTCCTTACTATTTGAGATCTTACTTCCCCCATGAGCGACTTCATCAGCCCCAGTGTCAGGCAATCTCTGATGCCACGCCTGCTTGTTGCTAGCGTGTGTTCTTGCTAATATGTAAGAGTGAGATGTATATGATGATGATGATATCTTATCAGTGAGGTTATTTGCTGGTGCGACATGAGCATATATGTTTCCTTGTAGGGAGAGTATGTTGCTGCTGTAAATGGCGAGAAGCTGTATGCGTATCACGTTAAAACTGAATCGATCCGTCGACATCTCCTCGGAGGAGATCGACACTTCACGTGCATCGCAGCTCACCCAACAGAGACGTGTCTGGCCACAGGAGACGACTCGGGACGAATTCTTCTTTGGTAACAGCTGCCGTACACATTTTCTGCCTTATCTTACCAAATTCTCACACAACTTTATATAATAGACACACCTGTATGGACTATAGTGCATATTCACAAATCTTTTTCGAAGTAATGCAACTGAAGTAAATATTCTATAATTTAATGGTAGCATGCTTTGTTTTATATACTTGATTGATCTGTACATAGAATCTCATTTGATATTACTTTTTTATATTTGATATAAGTATTATGCAAATAGTGTCACATGTCACGTTTTACATCATTGTACTATTCCCAGATGGCTTCATTATATTGTATCTTTCTTACTTATAGGTACAACTTTATGATTGTAAACCAACCAGCAAAATCTGTTCTTCACTGGCATTCACTGCCAGTGACTGGGATCAGCTTTACTGTAGAAGGTATGAACTAGATTCTAGATTAATTAATCATATATATATATATATATATATATGACTGGATGTGTATATATATATATATATACACCCAGTCACAGGATGAATCCCTGCAGCAGTCTAATTTATGAAACCACGTAGTACTGGAATTGTGAGGCGGGTCCCCGGAGTGATAATGCACCACTGTGATTGGCTGGCTTGTTGTTATACAGGTTCCCATCTGTACAGCGTAGGAGGTGAGAACGTTCTTGTAAAGTGGACGATGGGGCAGACGCAGCATAGGGAGTTCCTGCCACGTCTAGGCGCTCCTATCAAGCATTTGTCGATCTCATCCGACAGCTTCATGCTTGCAACGTGCCACCTTGACAACTGTAAGTCATCTCTAGCTGTTAGTCCCAGTCTAAGTGCAGTAACCTTTACTGTTTAAAAGGTTGATTGTTGTTTATTTCACTACGAATCTGAATGTACCTCCCAGAGTTTCAGTGTAATTTCGATAAGTATGGCATTTGTAGGTAATGAGAAGGAACATGTATATTTTATTTGTCATTAAGATTTCCACACAACCATTTGTCCCATTTGTCTTTTATAAAAAGAGTTGCGTGATTGAGGTTTGGTTGTGTTTTCTTTATGTTTAGCAATTCAGATTATCAGCTCACACCTGACTATCACACAAGTCATTCAGGGCATCACTCATAACCATGTCAAACAGGAATCAAGTGGAACTCTTCCTGTTGGTACGTAAAGGAAATGGCCGAGGGGTACATACCATATAAGTTTTATTTATGTATTATCAAAAAGATATTACCACTTAAAATGTACAAGATAATAAATGTAATGATGCTACTAAAAAGTATGTTTGGATATCGTAGGGCTTGTGTACGACTCAAGGAGTGCAGCACTGGTGCTAAATGGCAAGGTTGGACATTTGCAGTTTTACTCCGTTCAGACTGACAAGCAGTTGTACAACGTAAGCATGTACTACCATCACCCAATCGAATGCAATATATTCTGTAATATTTATATAATATAATTTCAATATATTATTTAATACCACGCACAGCATAAACTGATGCAACTATAACACGCTATACAGGATTCACATGATATTCTTCCTGTAATGTACGAATAAAACATTTATATATTCTACCTTGTCTAATTACGTCTTATTACCGATTATCGTGTAGCTGGACATCGTCGGTCAGAATGTGGTGTCAGGGGCTAGTCAGAATTCACCTATCATCTACACGGAAGTGGAGCGAGCAGCGTTTAGTGATTCTGGACAGTGGCTAGCGACCGTGCAAAGACGTGCAGACGGATGGAGTCAACAGGAGATCTCGCTGAAGTTCTGGCAGTACGACAATAGTTCCCAAACGTGAGAGCATTACCCTTGCAAGAAACGTAGAATGTCCGACAATATTATTGTTTCAAATGGATATAATCGTAGTTAAGATGGTTTGAATACTAACAACAGTCGCATATTCACTGAATTATATTGGCAGGTAACCCTACTTTCATGTATGTCATGTAATCAAAGGTTGTTCATATCGTTTGTTGTTCATCACCGGTGACGTAATACATTCACACATCTGATATTCTAACTGAACGAGTTTGTCACCAGGTACTTGTTGAACACGAAGGTCGATCTTCCACACATGGAAAAGGTGAACAAGCTTTTGTTTCAACCGGGCAGTGCTGTCAACACACCACTAGCTGTGACAACCAGCGATGATACCAAGTTCAAGATCTGGGGTCTAGTTGACGACACTGATATATATCGTGAGCATCCACTTTGTTATTAATGCAGATATAAATGCAATGAATCTGTTTCTATTAATGCTTGGTTGTTCTCAATTTAAATGTAAACAAAGAAAACTTTTCAAAGGCATTATGAAACCGTATAACATTACAGAATTGTAAGTCAATCAATAAATATGAACAGTATCATGAACAATTAACATATGTACACAATAGCATAGAGTATGTATATATATATAAAGTTCCGTTTTCCAAATGAAAGTTAAATTACACACAAAATATTGAAATGACAACAACTGGAGACATAATTATGGAGACAGTGCATAATGGTGCATAATTATATCTCCAGTTGTTGTCATTTCAATATTTTCTGTATATATATATGTTCGTAAGAGTATTCATGGAATTTGTGCTTCAATGTCTTGCGAGGCTAAATGCGATGTGAGTGTAATGACACAGCGTCGTGAAGTAAGCCTGACACGCACTCTCTTGTCTCTATTCAGGGGAGCGTAACTGCTGGGCGTGCGAGTCGTGTGGCTACTACAAGAGCTCGGCCGCCACCGAGGCAGCGTTCTCCGATGATGGCTCCCTGCTCGCGGTCGTGTTTGACCAGATGGCAACGCTGTGGACCCCCGAAAACAATGCCCTGAAGGTGGCGCTGTCGATCCCTGGCTGCCAGGATAACATCAGGTGCACATTGATTTAAAAAAAAAACAATTTTTTTATCATATGTCTATGGCCTTTCTGTTTTAATATACCATTGCAAACAATTTTACTCTAGAATTCATTAACTGTAGCAGCCGTCGGCAGCAGCATACATACGACTGGAGGGACTGTTACTGGTACTTTTATTTTATTATTAAGACATGCTTAACTCGTGTTATGTATATAGCTGATGATATTTGCAATTTGCTTTCAGGCATGTACTCTTTGGTAATAAAGGTGCAGCTCATCTATTACTAAGTGGAACACAGACCAAGCTGGTTGTTTGGAACCTCCTCACATTCTGCAGTACGTTAATGCAATGTTGTCAAGTAGGAACTAAGAATACAACACCATCGAATCTTTACATATATCGTGATATTAACAGCTTGAGAATACCGCACCTGCTTCCATAGCGCTTACTAAATATTATTAAGATGAATTATAGATTGGAAACTTTACCAAATCCGTTCACTGTACCAAATTGAGTTTGTGATGGCCTGTAATGTCATGAAGATATAGGCATACGCACTCACGCACGCACACTCATATACATGAATGCACGCAGATACACATGCATGCACGCACACACATACGCACGCACTCATGCACACATGAAAGTAACAGATGTGAAATTGAATCAGATGGTGCAATGGCTATTGATATGAGATTCACTGTTGGCTTGTCTGGAATTTTGCAGTTGAGTGGTGTGTGGAGCTGCAGGTTGTAGCGTTAGCTGGAGATCCGATGTCAGACCTCGTAGCAGGTATCACAAAAGATTCAACGTGTAAGTCAACGTTACTGTAAGCTTACTGCCTTTCGGACGATTCATACATGTATAGTACAATGCCATCTATAGATGTCTTGACATTTGTAGTCCTGGATGGGATCGCGTTGATTCGGTGAATTATTATGCATAAAGCTTGCTTAATAAAAACATTTGCGATTGATAATTGTTAAGTTGTACGGTATATTTCCGCTGCAGTGTATGTCTATCGTCTGGGCAGTTCTACTCCTGTCTACACCCATGAAAACGTATCAACATCACCTGTGCTATCAGCCATATTTCTGCCAAATGCACTCGAATGGAAGAGGAAATCTTCAACCCTGCTCTGGCAACAGACATCTCAGTTGTACTTCATGAACGAAAACCAGGCGAGTAGTTAAAGAAAGTTAACACCCTATCGAGAACCTTGTAATTCAGGCTATGAGGGTTAACAGTAGATTTTGTCATTCTGTGGCTATATATTTGGTCTCTATTGATAATTATTATAAGACTAGGAGCTATAGGAAAGTATGGATAACTTTGCATTGTTATTTATTTTATGCTAGTATCCTTACATGTTATGTATTAAATTTGTTAACTTGTGTTTTCATATCTTATAGGAGTTACTAACCATCAACGAGTCATCTGGCGGAGTAGGTGAAGCTCGTGAACAAGGAGTAAAGATAGAGGGAAACTTGCCGTTAACGCCATTCGGTCAGCTGCTCGCGAAAAAGACAAAGACGGGTGTTGAGAGCGTTCAGCGTCAACGACACGTTCAGCTAGGCAACCCTGGTTCTGATGCTGTCATAGATGTAAGCTTCTCTAGCAGTTTTCCCCATGTTTTCTCTCTGCCTCGTATCTCATTGCTTTCATTGTCATTTTCAAAGCTTGTAAATTTTACCTTTTCTCTCATAGCTTAACTGGTATACTGTATATTTTCTCCCCTATAATGTTTACTTTGTTTTAATGAAGTAATATAAATATAAATATTACAATATAACGACAATATGAATGTTAAGTCGGGTGTTTTATGCGTTCAGATGCTAGGTGGACCTTCACACACCCTAGCTCCAGTAGAGAGCCTATGTTTGCCCTTCCTGACTGCATTGCTCATACCAAAACCAGACAGGTGTGTGGGCTGATCAGATACAATCAGGAGTGAATAATAATATCTATCGATAAGATCTATATATATATCTATATCTACATCTATAATATAGATAGAGATATAGAATAATATAGAATCTATTATTATTCACTCCTGATACAATAAATATGTTAAGCCTACTGGATTCTCATTGCAAGCAAAAGCAATCTACTTGCTATTATCAGTGGAAACAGGTGTATGAATTACCCTATATTTGTAATAAGATTTGGTAATCTCATATGAATGGCATGCAATCATGACTTTTTACAATTATAAATTTTATTTTATATTTGCTAACTTCCTGACTATTTTTTATCTCTGGCTACAGTAAAGCCACTCAACATGAAGATGAAGACAAACCCAGAGCACCTTCTGCAGAGGCAAGCAGCAGCGACTCCGATTCTGAGACAAAGGTGCAGAAGAAGCAGCGTAAGCTTAAGAGACCCATGAAGCTAGACTCAGTACAACGAGATTCGGCGCATCTACCACCGCCTACAAATGCCAAGCAGAACGAAGCGCATCTGTGGAAGGTAGCTGAAGAAAACTTTGATTGGTTAGGCTCCTGCTTTTAAACTTATAGGAGATGCGTTTTTAGTGGGCACAGTGCAGACTACATGGATAACGTGAATGGATGACTCACAGACGTCATTGATAACAAAACTCGCGGAGAAGACGTTCTTAATTGGTGCTGTTTACTGTTTACACAGAACACGCATGGAAATTTCTATGTGAGTGAGACCTATATATAGCTTCAAAATGCTTGCTGATGTAAATAGCTGTCTGCAGTAACTTTACGACTTTAGCTACATCATGTTAGAAAATATCATTATGTTACTAGTGGCGTGATCGTAAGTTGAGCACTGCTTTACTGCAGGCTGCTTTAATTGTCACAGCTAGTTGATTCTGGAAACTGATATTTCAGATGATATGTGTGTAAATGCAATAGGCAACTATTGCATTATCTTTTATATTAATAACATGTATATAAGAGACAAAGAGGAAGGCTTTTTGTGATAATTTTCTCCGGCATATATTCATGATCATAAAAATATCAGGTAAAAACACACAGGAAGGCAGACTGGTTGATCTGCCAAGAATTTGATAGAGGTAGTGTGTATTGGTTCTGGTCTACGTTTCACGTGTTCACCTTTGGTGATCCGTTGATCCGTTGATCCTTTCTATCAAGAAGTTCAAAGAGTACTATTTCATCAACTCAGTTGATATCCGTCACTTGAGTCTTTATGCCAAAGTTCAGTTCGGCACCCCCTGTCACATTAAGATCAGTGCCTGTGCAGAACGTTGCCTTTGTGGCGAGATAGAGAGCCGCTTCGCCAACCTCCTCTGGCGTACCAAACCGACCGACCAGCTAAGATAAAAGACATGGTATTTCAGTTGATGGATGGTAACGATGCCTGCTGCATTTGCCCGTCCATGAGTTCTGACCTTTTTTCCCCACAATGAAACTGCACCTTCTGACCACGACGCTATGACCATAGTACACACACTATCAAGATTTGTGCTGCAGTTTCGCTCGTTAACTAGATTCCTGCCCCTTAAAATTGAGAAGTATATTACGCAATCTCTCTTATCTCACTGGCCCCCTGACCTTCAGTGTTAAGCCACCTCCCTACATACTGAAAGTCATGCATGTGGAGGAAGTCATTTAGATTTGTCCCGCCATTGTCGATACATGTAATATACGGATGGAAGCTCCTGCTATCTTACAGACTGCATCTTACCGTGTCAAATGCGCCAACACGAAGTAATCTGAATCAACTAGCAAGCTTGGGGCTGTCATAATCTAAATTTCATCTGAGGATTTGAAAAACCTCTGTATATAGTACTCATTTTAAATTCACGGTTAAATTAAAAGACTTGATAATAAAGATAGGCAGCTATGAAGACAAGTTTCCCTAATGAATTATTGACCTGGAACTATATTATTTAAAAAATGTCTTGTAGAAAAGGAAAATGCTCGTGATTATATCTCAAAGTATCAATTACAATGAACATTTCCAATGCTGCTACCACTGCATTCATGTGCTCAGTCTGTATGATACTTAATTGGACCGATCCTTTAAAAGCTACATCAGCACAGTGTCATAGTCATCTGTGTTACGTCACCATAATAAGGTTCAAACTGGTTGGTTAGCACATACCCAGGCCAAAGACATATCTGTACTCATGTGATAGTTTATTGAACTTAAATCTGTACCTGTTGTGCCGCTCCGTCATTGATTGCTTTCTTTGGATTAGGTGTTGACATTGTTGCTCGTTCAAACATTGTCGTCCAAATACAGCTTGGTGATATGCTAGATAAGTAGAACATGGCCAGCTAGTAACGACAGCTGTCTCTTTGCTCCACAACAAGTATGTTAGTAACACGACAACAAGAGCACAGTATTAGTTTGGGGCGAATTACGTAACGTTGATTCAAGAATACCACGTACAGACTGAAAATTTGATCCTACATCAATCTGGTCCGGGCCAGGCGCGCGTCAAACTTTTGCAGTGTGTACACGCTATCCCGCTCCAAATACGCGCTGGCCCGCACCAATTTGGCCCCGCAAATGAAGGAGGGCAACGCCCGGGATAACTTGGCCTGGACCAAGTTATCCCGCTCCAAGCTGTGTCTGTACACAACCCGGTGGCTGCGCGCACCAAATTTCGCAATGTACATGCGCATAGCCTTATTTAGGTCACATAAAAGTACAGTATCTGCCTGCGGGGTGACGTAGCGAGCTGAACTGAGCATGCACAGTCAACCCGTGACTCATATGATGTGGCATGACATTTTGTGTCTGTACCTTCAGTGTTAAGCCACCTCCCTACATACTGAAAGTGATGCATGTGGAGGATGCCATTTAGATTCGTCCCGCCATTGTCGATACATGTAATATACGGATGGAAGCTCTACGGATGGACTTGGTGCGCGCTTGAAGGCCAGAAACCTGGGCCATACGAAGAAATGAGAAAATGAGATTGAAGAGAACGGGAATTGAGGATGTTGTGTTGGATACTGGGAGTTTCACTGAGAGAAAGAAGGACAAATGAGGTACGAAGAATAGCGGGAGTAATAGACATTAAGTCGTAATGCAAAGTAGGATGGGATGATATGGGTACGTGGTTAGGAAGAAAGATGAGGAGCAAACGAAGAGAGCATGGCAGGAGCCAGTGAGAGGAAGAAGGACGAGAGGGTGACAGAGAATTAGATGGAGGGATAGAGTGGAGGCAGAGATGAGAAGGCTTGGAGTAACGGAGGACAATGCGGCCGATCGAGGGAGGTGGAGAAGAATTATCAACAGGGAGGTCAGCCCCTAGCTAACGTCTCAGCGTGGATCATCCGCGACAAACTACGACCAAGAAGAAGAAGAAGACAACTTGCTGACCCTGCTGCAAGGTGGATTTGAAGGGAATCCAATATGGCGGCACATGTGTGACTCAGTTAATCACTGCTTGTTGTGAGTTACAAACCATCCTATGATAGGTCCATCCAGGCGATGTTATGTAACAATTGCATGCATTTAAGAGTCCACAAACACTTACCAATTTACTCTCACTCCATACTTTGCCTCGTCTATCGCGAGTGCCTTGGTCATCGCTGTCACTGCCCCCTGTAGGGAAAAAAGCTATACTTACTAATCTCATTTAAATGTTAACTCAGGGTTAATTCTCACCAAGAATTTCAGAAGGCGTGTCACGTATGAACAGATATTGTTTAGGGCCTGGGTAGGGTTGTGCCGATCTCAGAGGTCATCTAACTGCAGGATTGCATGAGTAGATATGTGCAGCGAATGCCTTACTTGAGGCATGGCTAGAACGCCCACAGATACTATAACAACGGATTTGCAGCAATGGATATGCAATAATGGCAATGCAGCCCATGGAGAAGTCAACACTTGGCATTAAAAATATTGCCTATGCTACACAAACTGCATTTAAGATATATACTAACCTTTGTGGCGCAGTACGTCACAGCGTGTTTCTGTCCGAGTTGGTTAACAAGACTAGTTATATTGATGATGTTCCCGGCATGTTTCCTAAGGTGTGCCAAGCTATACTGAAGAAAACAATACCTCATAAATACGAAGGATTACGTCTATATTTTATGTATTTCTAAGAGCATCATTGTGCAAATGTAGACATGTAACAGATTCATCCTATTATGAGGCCAGCCTGCACATAAGTCTTACCTTTGCTGTGAGAAAGTAAGCCATGACATTTAGCTCAAATAACGTGCGAAAGTCATTTGCAGAGAACCCCTCAATTGGCATGTGCAGCGGGTCTGTAATTAATTATTAGAATGTTATTATATTAATTGGCTGCACCATGCTACAATACAATTAATAAACACCAGTACCACATAGATGTGCTTATGTAATATGTTTGGATGCATGCACCGATATTTGCAGTGATACACAGTTCAATTAAACTGTGTAAGGAATATACTTGACTCGCATACCTAAAAATCACTGCAACAAAATCCACATGTGATCAAGAGCTAATCGTACCTAGCTATAATAACAACATAGGTATTATTAGCTCTTGATGTGATGCACATCCACAATCAGAAAATCCTGCAAGCCATCGTATTACAATTTCACCATTCTGCCATTCACATGCACTGGGGGTATCACTCACTTCGGTACTAGTGATGGGATTCGGTTGGAATTTCATCATCGATCATCGGTTGCCCCCAACCGATCGATGATCAAAGATAATCAGTTGAATGTTATATCGATCGCAGCTACCAGATATTGAAATATATCAAATAGTGATGTTTCACATGACCTCATAGATCAGGTCACGTGTATTTGTTTTGTGTTGTGGTTGGCAGAAGCGAAGCGTGCTGCTTGACATTTACAGATGAATGACCACATGTTCTGATAGAAAGCGCTGTTTATGTAGTGCACGTACACGTGCGTGCTGCGTGCGTGCGTGTGCACGTGCACGTGCGTGCGTACGTGTGCACGTACACGTGCGTGCATCCGTGCGTGCGTGCGTGCGTGTGAATTTACACGTGCGTACGTGCGTTCGTGTGCACGTACACGTGCGTGCGTGCGTGCGTTCGTGCGTGTTTGCGTTCGTGTGCACGTACACGTGCGTGCGTGCGTGCGCGCGTGACACGTACAACTTGAAGTGCCTGTGCACGTACACGTGTGCGCACGTAAACGTGCGTGCATGCGTGCGTGTGTGCGTGTGCACGTATACGTGCGTGCGTACACGTGCGTGCATGTGTGCGTGTGTACGTACACGTGCGCTCGTGCGTGCGTGCGTGCGTGCGTGTGCACTTACACGTGCGTACATGCGTGCGTGCGTGCGTGCGCGTGTGCACGTACACGTGCGTGCGCGTGTGCACGTACACGTGCGCGCGTGCGTGCGTGCGTGTGAACGTACACGTGCGTGCGTGCGTGCGTGTGAACGTACACGTGCGTGCCTGCGTGCGTGTGTGAGTGCGTGCGTGTTCACGTACACGTGCGTGCGTGCGTGTGTGTGTGTGTGCAGGTACACGTGAGTGCGTGCGTGTGCACGTGCACGTGCGTGCGAGCATGCGTATGCACATATAAGTGCGTGCGTGCGTGTGCACGTACACCTGCGTGCGTGCATACGTGCGTGCGTGTGCAGGTGCACGTGCGTGCATGCGCGCGTGCGTGCGTGCGTGCGTGCGTGCGTGCGTGCGTTTGAATGTACACGTGTGCGCGTGCATACCTGCATATGCACGTACACATGCGTGCATGCGTGCGTGCGTGCGTGTGTGCGTGTGCACGTACACGTGCGTGCGTGTGTGCGTGTGCACGTACACGTGCGTGCGTGTGTGCATATGCACGTATACGTGCGTGCGTGCGTGTGCACGTACACGTGCGTGCATGCGTGTGCACGTACACGTGCGTGCATGAGTGTGCGTGCATGTGCACGTACACGTGCGTGCGTGCGTGCGTGCGTGCGTGCGTGCGTCTGTGCATGTACGTGTGCGTGCGTGCGTCCGTACGTGCATGCGTCCGTACGTGCGTGTGCACGTACACGTGCGTGCATGAGTGTGTGCGCGCGTGTGCACGAACACGTGCGTGCGTGTGTGCGCGCGTGTGCACGAACACGTGCGTGCGTGTGTACGTACACGTGCGTGCGTGCGTGCTTGTGCTTGTATCGAACAATATCATGCATCTGCTTGCTGCCAATCGTTAAACTGTGCATGTGCGCATATGACGTCAATGTTTATAAACATGAAACATTGCTATATATCATATAATACAGTATTTTTTATAATACAATATTCTAAAATCTATGTAACAGTATTATACTTGCTTATGTTTGGTGTAGGTTAAAAATGTAACCCCAAAAAATACACAAAAATAAAACAACGTGCCATTTCATCGATGTTATTTTTAATTTAAAAATTATGTTTTGATAATCGATTATTTATTTTCATAATCGAGCGTTTAGTCGGTTGCTTGCAAATGACTGCCTTTTGATTATAATCGATCATCAGGACATCACTATTTGGCACACACAAAATATTAAACATTCGACACATGCTGACTCACGTGCTGCAGCGTTGTTCACCAAGCAATCCAGCCTGCTGTACTTGGCCACGGTGTACACCACAAGCTTCTGAAATACAGTAGAAGTCCAAAATCAACACTTGACAAAAATGTAAATAAATTTTCACTACGAAATAGCTAATAAAGAGTGTGTAATAGTTGAAATCATGTTTAAAAATGAACATTGTAAAAGAAAAATACAGTAAACAAATGAAAGCAGAACTTATTTTATACAAATTAATTATTTATTTTTAGTTCATTAAACAGAGTTAAATTTTAGTTTTCAAAAAAGTCCAGATTCTCTGATGGTCCGGATTTCTGGCATCCGGATTTTTGGACTTCTACTGTAGCAACATACGTAGATACTGCATTCTTAATGCCGGAAGCACTGACCTCCACCTTTCAGACCACTCGCATAATTAACAGCAGAACTTGATTTTGGAAAATTTTCAGCATTGTCACTATAGGAAGCATGCAGGAATAAAATATACATGCAGGCATGTGACACATGCAAGTTCCTAGATATTATTACGTGTTTCTTACTTTACCGAATTTTACACATTATAGTTAGCAGGGTTTTCCGAATGAAATATGGTTGCATTAACGTTACCTTGATATCACTCTCCTTTGTCAAGTCACAGGTGACAAATTCACATATTCCCAGACCCTCACTGTTTGTCATGTGAACAAAGTGATGAATTTCTGAAGTCTCTACAAATAAAAAAAATGTGTCAGGTGACCTAAACAAGTGCCGCATAGCGACAGCGCTCATCTAACGTCTACTGCGGTGAGTCTGTGGTGGAGTGTTGGGATTCTAGTAAACCCTG